CTCGCTTATTTTTTGTTTGTTGATTATACTAATAATAACACCTTGTTTTTTAGTTCTCAATACCTAACACAATCTTGATACTTTTCAGCTGATTTCAGTCTTAGAGGAGAAGTTGACAATCTATACGCCACAGTTGGCGCCAAGTCCCGAGACAAAAGACGGCCATTGGCTGTCGATATCCGTTGGTCAAACGATGATTCGCCGGTMTCTTCCTTAGAAAGACCAATGAACAGATCTAGCAATTCAAGYAGCAGCTTACGAGTAAGTTAATTGATTTTTAAGATATAAGAATTGTTACTCCATGAGTTTAGTATTACCATACTAGGGGACTATTGCAAATCCTTCGTTCTRATTGGCTACGCTACTCGGGGTCTGTGTTCAATAGTCCTCGACTAGCGAAAAGCGACACCTTTTTGCGTATTTTTAGCAATAAAAACACTTAGTTAAATAGCCATGTTGGAAATGGATTATGTTGAAGATATTATAATTTTATTTGTTGTTGTTTTCTGTAGAGTTTTAACTCGACATCGAGTAACGACTCGTTAGAAGAYGCTCCTCCAGTCCCTTCAAAGACAGCAGACACCTATCTCTATCCAGGTACGTAGCAAAAAGTATCACAGAAACAGACGAGTAATTCTGACTCCACTAGACAAGAACATTCGTAAGGWGTTTTTGTTAGGATTCTTTCGCCAGTGAGGAGTGATATTACAAACTACCAGCTATCATACAGTATATACACTTACATCAATTACAAAAAAAMCCCTAGAGACCTAGTTGATGCAAGACTACAAACCGCAAAACCACGTAAAAACCACCCTGGAGTTGTGGCCAAAAACCATGGAAAACCGCGGAAACGTTTCCCCCGACCTAGTGCACAGACTTGCAGAGCAACTAGCACTCTCCGAGGGTTAGAGAGCGTTTCATGATAACAAAAAGCGAAATAAGCGTACAAGTATCTTGAGCAAAATTACATTCGATCACCTCCCTTATTTTCTGTTTTAATTAAAACTAATTGACAAAAGAAACGAAGCCGTGTTTCGGCCTGACTAGCCTAGATGACCAGAATGTGCCATTATATACTAACTACCCATGAGACTTTGCTCATACCCGAGCCTCTTTCGGCGTGCCGGCAGATTATCAATTTCTGATAGGTCGCTCCTTCGTCGCTGATTGTCAGAAATTCCATTCTTTCGATTGATGACAAGTGAGTTAGCATAGTGTTCTCCTCATAAAAACGCTAGTAACCACAAAAATGAAATAGAGATTGGTGATGCAAACGTGATGTTGTGTTTTACGATTATATTAAAAAAGACATATACAAAAAGAAAATAAAAGTCATCTTTTTAGAAGATTGATAACAGAAGTGAGGACGAAAAAGAACGAATTGCCCTAGTTCATTATGACGTCACATAAAAACATTCTATTGTTTTAACACTAATGATTATGGTCTCCAGAAGGGATCAGAGTGACTGCATTTCAAATAAAATGTACATGAACAATCATTTATACATGATATATATCAAAACACGATTCACTGAAGTTCTACTTTAGTAGACAATATAAATGCGTCCAAATTTCCACTGTTTTTGAGCATCGTTTTCCGATGTAAACATACTGTGACGTCATAATGAAATAGGCCAATTGCAAAGAAAAGTATTAGACATGTAATGGTGAAATAAAACGAAAAGAAGAGAACAAAGAATGCTGAATAATGGAAAAAGCAGACTTGAAGTCATCGTATTTTTATATTCAGTATATTGCTACATTAATAGTACCATTAATATTATAAGATGATGAAGATGCGTATGACAACGTCCAAAAGTCTTCCCAGAAGTCAACACTGAACAGAATCAAAAACAAAGCGAAAAATATGATGCATTCGGGCCCACATGGTCCAAAGGTAACACAATATAACTTGTTCATGCTGCTCGAACCTGAATTGCCTCAATTTTTCTTAAGCAGTGTAGGTTCTTATCGACACTTCAAGGAATCTTGCCAAGAGAAATTTGTTTGTTTTGATGAAGCTTTTAGTAAAGTATGTTTCTATTTCTTAGATCTCTTTGGGACGAAAGAATGCTGCAAGTACTGATTCACTCGCATCTGGTATGATAAGGATGTGGTTTTTTTTTCTTGTTTTGTTATTTTAATTCGTTATAGTATACGCTGTGTTAGTCCTGGCTCACGCAGGATGACATAGCGAAATAAGAAGTTCATCACATAGCGGTTTTCTAAAGCTATATGATGTTTCTAGTGTGAACATTTTTGCCATGATAAATATAACGACATGAAAGTTTCTGTACTCTTTTCTTATGTCGTTATATGGCGTTGTTGTTATGTCGTCCATGTAAACTACGTATTGTTTATATATGAGATAGGATGCCCCTAGGTCATGCAGATTGTTTTAAATCCTGCAGGAAAAAGAAACAAAAGAGTTTAGCCTACTTCCTAGGGGCACCTAAACTTATCTTATGTAAACAGAAACTAGAGTGCAAACACTGTACAACATGAATAAAACCCGTTTAATAGGAAAAGCGTAATTTAGCGTGATACACCGAAAATMCAAAGAAAAACTYGCAAAATTAAGAGTRCWAAAGTATAGTACGTTAAAGTGTATTATATGTGAAWGAAAAACAACTGGTGATGTTTTGACAATATACAAAAGAAATAACYTTAATTAAAACCTTATACTTTTCTGTAGTGCATTTCACGGATTTATGGGAGCCACTATGCTAAAAAATTGTGTTAGGTTATTCAGTATTAAACAAGTTACTGCTCCTGTTTCTGTTAAACGATTGATTAAGCTTTTTTTTCTCTTTCTCTAGGAGAAGGTCAAGACTCTTACACCAGTCATAAAGGTCTAGTTGTTGTTTCAGTTTGATATTTCAATTTCTATACGTGTGATTTTGCTGCTTAAGAAACTTAAAGTTTGAGTTTTTAGCTGTTATTCAATCATCTGGAGGTGTTTTCGTGAGCTCCGYCCACCTTGCATGATTGACAGCTCTGTAATACCCATGATGCAATTCAAATTATATAGAAAATTGCGTTACTTGWTTTTTTTTATACTGACTTGAAGGTGTTATTCAATTTTCTGCTGATGATCAAGATTTTTTTTGCTCAACCTTATCGATTATTGCTAGAGACAATTTATATGATATTTTTAGTTTTAATTTATATTAACCTTAAAGCGCTCAAAACCTCCCACTTTAGACTCTKTCTCGGTCCATTTGATGTTTAATTTCTTCGATCATTTTTATTTTATTTTATTTTTTTCAATTTTTGCAGGTTATGGAACTCATATTGGCAAGCCTCAAGGGCCCAGACAATGCCCAAACCATTGGCCAAAATTCAAAAAATAAGCAAGCTTTCAGACTGTAAAAAAATTCTAAATGCCGAAAAGGAAATACGATAAATAGGAAAATAGAAAAACGGCATGGAAACATATTCAACTCGGGGGTAAAATTGTACCAAATARTATATTTTGAATGTAAATTTGAGTATTTTTGATAACAATCTAGCGGATTGGAATTATGTTTATTAGAATTCCTATGAATAGACATTTTTTGACGTACATGTAATTATCAATGATTTAAAATGTCTTGAGGACATTGTTTAAAYACGTATTTTTCAAATTGAAAATCCCCGAGTATAAAATCAAGTTTCTGCACTTTTTGCTGTATTTTGAAATCGGTAAAGAACAACAAGTTATTACTACCTAGCGCAATATACTTTAAAGTACTTTGTAAATGAATACTTTATTTTTTTATAAACTAACGTAGGTTGACAATTCTCATGTTGTTCAAAAATGAATAAATTTAAATTCCGACGTATGTTTGAGTAATCTTAGGATTTGTGTGTATGACATAATTATTAGACGTACTACTAATTGATTAAGCATTTCAACCAAAACAACTAAAATACCCAAAACGACATAGCTAAGACTAAACGTTAATCACCAAAATTGCAAAAGCGCTCTCGTGATGTTGACTTTTTAATATGAAAAAGTCAGTTCTTCCCTGCATTACAGTTTTCGATCTTTTCCAATTTTTATAAACCTTAAAGCCTTAAAAGTTCCCATCAAAGCCTATTTAAATTGTTTTTAACTTCTAAAGTAATCACTAAAAACTAAATAAAAACAAACGGCGATTGAAAATTGAACTATTTGTACATTGTAGATGTTTAAATCATAACGCCCCCCTAGATAGCTGAATTCGCATTCACGCCAAAAATCTCCTCGTTTTCTTTTAAACTTTATAACAACAAAAGAGTTTTGAATTAACCATTTCAAGGGTATTACAAGACAAAGTGAGTGGTCCTTTCATGCTGGGAGTTAGCCATTAAAACTTTCCCAAACATTTCAATAGTGATCATGATTGGTCAATTCGCACACGTGATTATCGCACCTGCAAATCGCAATATTTTGTCATCAAAAGGAATGCTTATTTGGACGTATAATTCCAATAGTTTCGCAAACATAAATGCGACAAGTTTTTGGTATTATTGGCTCGTTTMAACGTTTGTCTAGAAATGACTTTGTGTTCATAAATTGGACTTGGCATATATATATTTCATTGATTGACCAGGGCTTTCATTGTATTGCTGAAKTGGACGTCACRGATTTGGATTCGTCTCGTCGCTTGAGGTAACATTACRATTTAAAGCGTTTTGAAGTGAATGTTTATCTATGAATATTTGATCKCTGTGGTCTGCATTGAAAGCTAGKGGAATAGAGTTTSTCGATCTTTTCAGAGACCAACAACCTGGCAAAAACTCTACTCCAAGAAGATTTCCCATGACGCTTCCAGAGAAATAATGCGGCATCGTGAAGTCTCAAGAAATGTACCCAAGGATTAACTGGTTAAGCATTTTTTGTCAGTTTGGTAAGTTTTCTTACCGTGAGTTTAAACTGAGTAGTTTCTTGCTATCTCATATGTGGCATTTTACTGTATATTGTCCCACATTTGAGAACGATAACCTTTGACTAATATAATTTGCTAGTATCCAAAGCATCCAATCTTAACCGACATTTAGGCTATCAGTTAACTATATACACCACTGCGCTCTTAGCCACTATTGTAATAGAATTTCTTAACATACATTTTTCACCGTCAAAGGACACTTAAAACCCTAAATTCTGTTTCATTTTGGGCGATTAGTATGTAAACATACATTTTGGTTTTGAGTTTACTGTTTGACTTCAAATTGAATAGTGAATTTGGATAATATTGGATCGGAACGCGATGTTATCTATGTTGGTTGGTTGGGTTTGCGATAGTCTACCTTTTTCCGCGCCGACCGCTATTAATATTAGAAAAAATATTTGACATTTGGGGGAATTTGTTTACCCGGCTGAGTATAGCAATATATACTTATTTGTACAATATTTGACGTAAATGAGAGGATTTTATGCGGAATTGTCTCTTTTCGAGGAACCTAAGTCAATACCAGTTTTTATTAGAAGGTTTTTCTTCGCTCCAAGTGGATACACTCATTTTAAAGGGGAAAAAAATACTTAATCTATGCAAAAGATGTGAATTTTTGGTAAAAAAAAGCTCTTGTTGCGTAAATTTAGATGTTTCGTTTTCGTCGCATATGAAGCCAAAATTTTCCTGTGGAGTAAATTCTACACCTTATACTACTTTATTTTGATTTAAAGCCAAAACATGTTTTCCCAATTATTTTATAATTTTAATGGAAGGGGAGATTTCCAATCAGCGATATTACCAACAACAATATTAATCGCACTTGTCGCGCTTTAGAGTACRAATTATTAAAATGTCTTATTCTTGTGAACCCATACTATTTCACTTAAGCGATTTCAAATTAATGATATTTGATAAACAGTCATTTGCAGTTTTCAATCTTGTTTCAAATTTTTTTCAATATTCTCGGTCAAGCAGCAGGTTCGAGATTACCTTAAGTAAGTTACTTACTAGATGGTCGACAAAGTGACGGCAGTTTAAGTGTGCTTTAAAAGCTATATTACAGTCATATTTTTTTTTTTCATTACATGCTGTTAGTCTAAGGATTATCACTTGGTGATTCTCTACTTTTAGCACTGAGAAAGAAGCTGTACGCGGGGTGTATGGCAAAGCCTTTTTATATTGATGTTATTTTTAACTTTCACACGTCGGGAGAAAAAAAATATCTACCAGACAACCACCTTTTTCAGATTTCAAACCACAGAATTGAACATGTCAAAAAACGAATAAAATGTAATAATAGTTTGATACGTATAAAAGGCAGCGTCCATTTYATTCGTGGAGTGCACTTTGGGGTTATGTGACAATGAGTGTGGGATGCGAAAGTCCATTGTGATCTACACCTTKACTGAAATCTATCCATATGTCGCCATTTCATTCATTTTCCTATTTTTTTACTTGCATTATTTGAACAAATGAGTATTACTCGTTAGTACTCTCTCCTATTGTAGTATAATCAAGGAAATAATAATCATTTTTTGTTTCCAAGGGCTTGATATAAATGTTTAATGTGTAACCACTGTTGACGATTTTTACTCCTCATCTGAATTTGTAAATTAACATTTGCACTTTTACATAGTTAAATTTTCAAGTTTACTAGTTCGCAATTTCGCCCCCTACATCGTGTTATATTATCATTGGTCAGACCCTAGACAATTGGTAGACAGTTCCACAAAATACCGTTTTTTTTCTATATTTTTTTATTTCCAGTTTTGTGCTTAGAACAATTTTAAAATGCTCCAGTATTTCTTCGGATTAAAATCATGAATGTACTTTGATAACAGTTTTAGACGTCACAGCTTTTGTAATATTTGATAAACTGTTCGACCATTTGTCTAACTTGGCGATCTTAATTCTAATTCTAAATTTTTCGTTCACCGCAAATATATACAGTGGCGTACTTGAATTTGCATCTAGAGTATGACCTCATACGTTGTTTTAGATGTTTGAATGTTTATTCAAATAAGTTGAAATAAGTTATGTAATCACCACCATCATCATCGCCTATATTAATGATGCTATGATGATATTTGATAAGAATGATGAAAGTTCTCAGTTTTCCTGTTTTTTTTTTCATTTCCCAATTATCATGTTTTCAATTTGCTTTGACGATTTAACTGACAAGCTGTGATGAATAATGTGAATCAACTACAATTTATAAATCTCCAACTTGGATAAGAAGTCATGATATTTGATAAGAATGATGAAAATTCTCAGTTTTCCTGTTTTCTCATTTCCCAATTTTTATGTTTTTAATTTGCTTTGACGATTCATCACCCGACAAGCTGTGGTGAATAATGTGAATCAACTACAATTTATAAATCTCCAACTTGGATAAAAAGTCCAAGACGAATTGTTATTGATCACATGTCTATTTACTCTTTGAAAAAGTCTTTCCCTCCKCACTTGGGAAGTACTTGCGTTCACCGCATGTACTACCATGCTCTTAAGGTAGAACTGCTGTTGTCAGGTTGTGTTTCCCTTCCAGAAACTGTAGCCGTATCTCTTCCGGTCCGTGTATAATTTACTCAGACCCGTGCAGTACTTATTCAAGGTAATCCGCTATGATCTAAACTAGCACGGAGCCATTTCGTTAACCTTATCAGTCACAATAAATGCGATACGGATCTTTTTGTGAATTAAGGTATTTAGACTTTTGACGATAAATTCATCTTTGATAATGTAATTCAATTTCAAACCAAGGCGAACATTGGTTCCTTKCTTYAGCAWAGGCAACAGCGAACTTTTCACGCGGACTTTTATCACATAGCGTAAGTTGTTTACATGAAAAGCGACTTGGAAAAGTAAATTTAATGGTATTTAGCTGAGGTGGCGAGTTACTTAGCCGAGCTGAAGAAGCCAAGTTGTTTAAAAAGCACTTGTTAGAATTGAGATGGGCGTATGTTAACAGAGCCTTGCCAAGGTAAAACMTGAACAATCTAGTCGAATTCTTAACTTGATTAGTCTGTTTCTCAATGATAATCTAACTGTGAGCTTGTCTGCCGTTAGCGCAATGAGTGGAGACTGAACTTGTCCTTCATTTCTACGTATATCTGCCTTTTAGCTCGAGGCATTTCTTTCAACTTTTATCGTTTAAAAGGCATAGCAACCCTATGGAACACGGCATATGAACTATCTGTTTTAACTAYTTCTCGTTGACAATACAGTCTCTTAGTTTAATATGAGTCTTTGGCTTTACGCAGGCTTTAATTTTGTGTAGCAGAACATATTTGTGAAGAGGTCACTCAGGCTCGCATATCCGATCAAAWCTTTAAATATTACTTATCCTCAATATGAGTATACATTCGCCGGTGTAGATGAGATACTTTTTAATTTGTAATCGAAATTTTGTTGTGTAATTGAAGCGTTTTWTGACTTTATAGTYTCTTCAAGATAACAAGTACGAACGTACTCGATTGTGGGAGAAAAAATGGCATCTTTCATCAACATTGTATACAATTTTTCCTTTTGATAATGTCCCTTATTTTAATAATGTTTAATTAAGACATTGAACACACGAAACAAGAYGGAAGGCATTTTTATAACGTCGAATCCCACATGTGGTAAATTTAATTTCATTGAGATGATACTAAGCAGAAASAAGGTAGTCATTCCCACTGAACTGGACACATGTGAAATACGGTGTTTAATGCTGGCCTAAGAAAATTATAGCAATGAAAAATAATGTTAAAAATTATTTTCAAATCAGATTTCGTCGGATTGTAGACTCCTATTGTTCATTTTATGTGCTTAGACGTCGCGCGCAACGTGTCCTCAGGCTGAACATGGTGTCATTTTGTCTTCAGGAGCGTGTTTTAAATAGGTATAGTGAGCGCTCACGATCTTCTCGTACTATCTAGCTATTTAATCTAGAATTACCGGGTTGTTCAAAGCTCCATTTGCGTTAATCCAGGTTTCTCTGCATAGTGTTTAACCCACGATTAATGTCACTCAACTTTGAACAATTCCGCACTTCTTGGAGGAACTCCATATTTCCATAGTAGTTAGGATTAAATTGCTACTTGGACGAAAATTGCGAAACATTAGAAAAGACTTGGAAATCAAATAGACCTATCTATATGGGTCTAATAATCATGAAGCAACAGATTTCAAGAAGATATTGGTACAAATCCTTAATAATTTGGGCAAAAAAATGCTGGAGTAGATGACGTCATTTACTCCATCCTTTTGTTCTTCCATCTTTTGAATCAAAATTTCTCTGATGTGGGACAATTCCAAAACAAATATTTTCACGCAATTGTTTTTAATAGATATATGTGAGTCATATATTTGTATTGCTTGAAGTTTTGAAATAAGGCCATTTTCATGCAAGTAGCACTTTAAGAGTGTTCTAGTCCTCCATATTTTTTTATTTCACAAAAAATGAGAAATCTTTGTTCAATCTCACGAAATGTTGCGTGAAGAGCAAACTTTAAAAGACACTCACCCATAAACGGTGCAATAACCGATTTCTAAGATGTCATCGTAGTCCAATATTTTCCAACTCTCACCATCGTGTTCAAAGGAAAAAATTGTCGCTTTTGCTCGAGAGCAACTGAAAGTATCGCTTTTTTACAAGAACAAGTGTTCTACTCATGCGTCTATTAGAATAACCAGATTTTTCTTTATTCTGTTATCTAGCTTGAAAACATGTGCCTACTTAGATGATAAAAGATGGTAAATTATTTTGAAGTTTAAGTTGATGAAGTAGACTCCGCCAAGCCTCCGTCTTTTTCAAACGAGTTTTCGTGACGTTTTTTTTTATTTTTGTCAGTGGGCGGAGAGCAGCACTAATRCGCTACGRAACCGTATCAGATACGTCAAAACTGATGATTTTTTCCGTATTGTTTTTGTACTTTTRCCATTCTTTTGCCGACCGAGAGCAATGAATAAACGCAATAAAAACGCATCAGGCCTCGCCCACTTTGATGCGTTTTCGTAGCGTTTTTTGTATTTTTACCATTCCTTGCTTTGCCGACGGGGTTAAAAAACGCATTAAAAACGCATCGGGCCTCGCCCACGCTGATACGTTTTCGTAGCGTTTTGTATCGAAACAATACTCAGAACCCCTATGGCGATCTTCCAATGCCGCAGGGCTGATCTGGATTGACTTAGATGTTGATAACCCTAATAGGACCACCTTTACAAACAATAACCTCGGTAATACGACCACCTTTACAAAGAATTACCTCGGTAATACGACCACCTTAACAAACAATTACCTCGGTAATACGACCACCTTTACAAAAAATTACCTCGGTAATACGACCACCTTTACAAACAATTACCTCGGTAATACGACCATTTCGAAAGGGTCTAAAAATATGAGCAGACAAAATCACGTCACCTTTCAACCTCATGACGACATTKAAGAAATGRGTTCGTTTACTATTTGTCACACAGAGATCTCCTCTAGGGCTCGCAGTTGGTCTGCTGTTAACAAAAGCTCCTTAGTTTTTACTGTAAAACATCYGACTTTCACTTCATTACAACATTACTACAAGTACTTCTATCAGCATACTCTTGAAACAGAAGATTTCTGTTGAAGTAATAATCGTCAGACGGCCATTGCAAAGCATTTCTGACATGGCTTGCAGTCTAAGGTTTCTCTAGACGGCTTATGACCTTAGTACAWTGYCAGTGCAGRATTTGTATGACACGCAGGAGAACTATAACAACAAATAATCGAATCCCTATGAAACAAATTAAAGTATTATTGTTACGGTATTCTGTTTTGTYCGGTTTCTTGTCGTGTTATTGTGGCCTAACGCCCGWTCCGCCTACCGACRTACTACTTCCATACCAATCTTTTCTTCGGTCTGTTGRTCGCTATTTAATAATCRTCRAGATGGTGTGATTCTGTTCCCTATAAATCGCATACAAAAAAGATTCATTTTTACAAGTACAATCAGTTTTCCTAATGTTTATTCGACTATAAAACATCTCGTTCCAACGAACAGTGAACAGACCTGTRKGTCTTATTGTTAGAGCACAATTGGCCATAAAATGTATCTGTTGTTTMTATAGAAGTTCAAGTCAAAATAAAACAGGCGTCGTTTGATCATTCGTTCCAAAATTCATAGTTGAGACTTTTTTMTTGTGATCWCTCGTTCTAATTGGTCCTAGCAGGTATGATTTGTAATAATGATTAAAGAGCAAACTTGCATGTTTTGAGCTTAAATAAACATACTCCTCTTAAATGGATTAACGTTAGAAAATACGCCCTTTTTGATTATCATTTCGTTTTCCAAAGCGCGAAAAATWTAGAGGACTCAAATYGAACGTTTTGGAACAAGTGATCATGTGTCCAACACCATGTTGATTTCTTTAAAAATATACATATATCTTTTGCATTTAAGCTGGGTTTTGTTTGCAAATCCGCCATCGCTTTTGTTTCTAGAAGTAATTGTTTTCCCGAGGGTTTGCGACTCGGGAATAATGCAYATGAACCACCAGCCCGCCTCTTAAAAGGCCTGATGTCACACATTTGAATCTCAAATCTGATTACCAAAAAAAGCTCTCTCACTGATGAATTAAGAGCATTCTATTCTATCATCACCGTCAACTCAGCTAGACAATGTTGGTCCAGTGCAAATCGCTCATCTTTAAAACATCTGCATGAATCACACATCATTTGAAGCTTGTTAAGTTTCCGGAATTTACGCGTTGGTTAACGTAAACCGTTTCTTGCGGGTAAATTTGTGGAATGGTTAAGGAAACGCTATCCTCAGTAAACTCGAGTGGAGTTGCTTTCTGATGACATCGCTTTTTCTGCTCTTCAGGAATGTGTTTAAGAAGAATAAGGACAAGCTTAGTAATTCTATTGTGTATCGGTGAGTAGTTGTATGTTTTTTCTGGAAGTTATTGACAATAACACAATGTGTAATGTTTGATTTCACGAGCGCACATTAACTACCGCTCCAAACAACAACGTCGTGTTTAGTGTTGTTCTTTGAGGTCATTTAAACTGAGAACTTAATCCACATCAGTGAAAAACTGGGTCGTGTACTATAGTCCAATACGATCAATACCTCTTCTTGAAATACACCAGAGTCTTGAACATCTTATAAAACAGTGGTTTGCCATGATTAATTTGCGGAACCAGTCTTGTTCAAAATGAAATTTCTGCAAAATTGACCAACATYTTATCAACAATAAACTCGCTACTGATTTGTTTGCGAAAAAAACGCAAAAATCCTATTCGTTTTTATACTCTGCTAGTAATGTAGTAAGGTTTTGTTTATTTCTCTTAAATGTACCTTTGAGCGTCATTTATCAAGAAAAACACGATGAACAAAGCTCTAAAATACCCAGTAATTATTTATAAGAGTGCTTTAAAACCTGGACCATTAGAAAAGCAATTATCCAACATAGCTCACCTGCTCAGCTTGTTTTTTACTTTAAAAGCATATCGACAAGAAACACAGCATTAATGAGACTAAAAACACCGTTTAAATTGACCCTGTCCTCGCACRCGTCCTTTCTTCCTGTAACCTCATGAATTCGTAACTGTAAAACACTCATTTTAGGGCATTATTTAGTCTTGTGAAACCCCAAAAGGMAATAATTTGAATTTTTGTGTGTAAAGGAGAATGTTTTAGTGGTGTTCTAGGGTTTGTTTTGTGTTTAAGTCAGGATTAACAGCATCCATTGGAGTGTAATCAATACACTGTACCCAAGTAGCTTGAGCGTCAATCTCTCTTTTCCGACATTTTTCCTGAATTCATTTCTCCACAAAAATATCGCGTTTACTCCTGATTTATTTAKTTTTACCATTTCGGAACAGTATTTATTCTAAAACTTCGTTTCGTGAGATATTGATACCAACAATCACTAAACATTTCATCTCTATTTCAATTTGCTTGTTTTATCGGAAGTTAACGTTTGAAACCATTTGATGAATCATGGCTACGAATTTTTTTTCCCGATGTCTAAAAGAAATTTGATGACAATTTCAATTAGCCAAGACAATGAACTTCAATTCAGTCTAAATACCAAGGACGCTTGTCCATGTCGTAACCTTAAYCCAGTTCTACAGCGCAAAATGAAACTTGAGAATGATTTATTTTATGTATATTGATCTGACCGCAGATATCCCAATAATGTTTCACCAATCATTTTCCACAGAAAAATASAAAGTTTGTGCTTTATTTCCATACATCGACATTGAATGGATAGTTTATCTATCGATAAGCGATTCAAATTGATTAACTTTCGGGCATTACAAATGAGGAATTGTAGAATACTTGAGACCAGACGGTGCTGTAACAGTTTAATAATGTACAGTTTTCTTACGATAAAGACTTAGGCCCGGTCAAGTAGCTCGGCGATGCCATGGACACACGTGTCAGAGATAAAACAAGAACGTTTTATCTACTGGTGCTTGAAGATTTCTCAGTGTGTAGAAAATACAGATTATCTAAAATCAAATCAATATAATGGACAAAATGAAAATAAGTACTTTTCAAAAATACACCTTGTAATCGTTAAAAKTTTGGTCATCGCTAAAGATGGTTTTTATATCATTATTGCTAATTGCCATCATCATCATCATCAACAACAACAACAACGCCATCAATCAGTAATGGCGTCAAAGTCCATTGAAAACCACTCTATCTTTTCGAATTCGTGAATAATGCTATGTTTCTTGGTCACCATTGAAGTACGATAGTTGCCACTTACTTTAACACAACAGAGTCCATGTATCCACGTATTGCCACATTCTTGACGCTTCCTCGATCTTCCTGGGTTCCTGGTTTTCTGATGATGTGGTTACATAGTCTACATATACATGGACTCTATCTACTATGTCTYTATAAGTTTTAACCGTGCCATTTTCCCATTCATTTCCTAGTTTTCCATCCAGTATGGTCTTCACAGTCTTCATTCATTCTTTTCTCCAATATGACACACATAATCAAGCTACAACCAAACTCTACTACAGAAACACCACTYATTTATAACCTCATTAAYGCCGTCGCCATAGACGTTGACGTCGCTGCAGGTCACGTGTATTGGTCTGACGTCATAGAAAAGAGTATAAAGCGCGCAAATATTGATGGGAGTAACGTCAAAGAGATTATAAGCACGACTATAGGGGTATGTGATGGGATCGCTGTGGAGTGGTTGACCAGGAAATTGTACTGGACAGACACTACGTATAAGGTCATACAAGTTTCAGAGCTTGACGGCAGTCGGCCGCGGATAGTGGTTGATACTGGGCTGGACAAACCACGTGGCATTGCGGTGTATCCACATGCAGAGTAAGTGATAATACGGACACCCCGCTACAACGGACACCTCGATATTACGGACAGTRAAATACTGAATCYCCGGCGAAAAATACAAAGAAATGACTGAAGGTAACTCTCGTTACTAYGGACACTAAATACGGTCCCAAGGGTATCCGTAATAGCGAGAGTTGACTGTATTTTAAAGACAAAGAAGATTTCCTGGAAAGTGTCCGTAATAGAAAGGTGTCCGGCATACAGTGGTCTAATATTAAGCATCATTTCTCTCTTTCAGCCTTATGTTCTGGACTGACCGTGGCAGCTCCCCGAAAATCGAGCGATCGTCATTGAGTGGTACAGCACGCATCGCGCTGATTACAGACAATATTAAGAGTCCAAACGAGATTGCTATTGATTATTCAAGCAATCAAATCTATTGGGTCGATGGTTTCTATGGTTCAATACAAACCAGTGATCTGGACGGACATTCCAGGCAGACTATATTCCAGCAAGATAATGTCCAACCATTTGGTATATCAATATTACATGATCAATTGTACTGGACAGCCTGGGCGTCACGTGGTATCCATTTTAGTAATAAACACACGAAGAAACTCGTGGATAGTATATACGACGTCGGGAAGTTTCCAATGGGYGTCACGGTATACGATGAGTCACGCCAGCCGGCAGGTAAGTGACGTCATTAGGTAAGATTATTCGTGGTATGATTTCATATAAAAACTCGGTGATTAATGATTGATATATTGAAAACAGGCGCGTCAAGATTTAGATTTATTAAATTAATTAATTAGGTAGGTATTTCGTCTGACTGGTGACGTTTTTCAAGCGAATTGTACTTTTCCACTTCGCATGGCTCCACAGTTCGGAAACAAAGACCTYTTTTATACCGCGATCCTCACTAATAAGAATAAACAATGAACTCTGCAGATCTTCACCTCAATCACTTGTGTATAGTTCTAAATTATTTTCCTTTTTTGAATTGTAATTTAAAAATGAAATTGTATTCATGTTTTATCGATAGTGAAACATTTGAAAYCAAACTGATTTGCTGATCATGCCTATATTTATGTTCCATCGGCTCACACAAGCGACATAAGCGTAAACACAGCCATAAGAAAGGAGAAAACGAGGTGGTTAAGGGCTGTTTATATAGTAAATAAGCGTTTTCTATAAATATTTATGGCTTCAAAACAAGATAAAATTTTATAATTAATGATTAAATATAATTATCATGAAAATATATAGACTGCATACGGAATAAGGCTTATTTATGTTAAACCGAGTTAACGGCAAAGATGCCATTCCAAGGCTAAAAACTAATGCAACATGGCGTAACATAAAGTTTAAAGCTAATTTGTAGTGTGCATATATCCACGAGTTCTGTATGTAACTCGGGGATAGTCACTGACAATGATAATGTATTATGCTGTAGGACCCAACAAATGTTCAATCAATAACGGCGACTGTAGTTATCTATGCCTTGCCAGCTCAAATGGACGCCGTTGCGCATGCCCGTCGGGAAGACAGCTGACCAGTGATGACAAAGCATGCATTGAAGGTTGGGTTCGGTTTCAATCAAACTAACGTTTTTTTTCTAACGCATGATTTTTCATTTTTACTTTGTTGAGTTCATTAAACATTGCATGTACTTACGTGGATGCCGACTGTATGACTCGAGGGATACGGGACATGCACCTCGGGACTCTTGCATGAGATGGCAAAATATACTTTACTGAGTTGTGCGAAAGACTGATGTAAAACCRACTTTAACTTTGAACTAAACTTAAGATGTTTATAAAAGATGAAAACTAAACCGAGTCGTTAAACTGCTTCAAATCTTAATCGAGCTACTTCGTAAATAATATGCAGTTTTAGTTTTGAAGCTTGTTATACTGGCTTTGCTAGTCTCGYAGSCGCTATATCATGCTTTTTGTATTGAARWGTGCGTGGGGAACTAAGATTTGCTTGTAACAATTGCCGCTCTTACTCATTGAAATAATCTGAAGTCGACGCCTCTAGATATCGGCCAGCAGCAGACTGCCTTGTATAACTTACAGGCAGCTAACTAATATCTATCTTAATCCTGTTGATAATCCGACCAGCAACTACCTCTAAGTACCGACCACTCATCGGTCACATGACATAATACAGGATCTATCCTTATACTCTTTGACGACCAATATCAACTCCTTACATCAACCATTAACCTCATTAATACCGACCAGTTTTCGTCAAATTGAAGAGTTAAACTTTATACCGATCAATATACCTATCGCATTACTCCGACCACAGACCGAGAAACTATCAATGGATTATTTTAAATTGTTATACCACAATGTAAGAATATTATACTTGTAGTTTTGTGAGGACGCTGAATTTTCACTCCTTTATACAAACCGCCGCATAAGCTATCAACCCCAGCTCCGCTCTCTTTGCGGTCTGCGGTCACTAGCTGTTGCGCATGACAARTACAAACTGACAATCTGTTTCACGGATCAGAGTCGTTAGTCTTAATGCGTGAAATAGAAGACTAATAATTAAAGCAACATCGACCTTAAGTTATACGCTATCATTTAGTTTTTTTAATTATAACGCCTTTTTTTGTTCAAATTTACACAAATTTAGTCCATATAAAGGCCTAATAAGACGACACAACTTTTGCTTACAACCATCGCATGCAACCAGCGTAAGTTATCCTTACAACATGGCTACATCTCTTGTGGCGATTTAAAACAATTGCTTAATAGCCCCACGACAGTTTTAGCCATGTTGTACGGTTGACTCACGCAGGTCGCGTGCGATGGCTATAAGAAAAGGTTGTATCGTCTAATTCGACCTTAAGGAAGATTGGAACGCTACGAAAGTGCACTGGTATGGTCGAGTCGTAAGTTAGACTACATGCGTTACATCCGTGAAACATATTGTGAGAAATTGCACAAAATTCCACTAATTAAACAATTAAAGACAAATGATTAGTTTGCACAAATTTGCCATCAAACAATTTCACGCTTGTAGTAAATGCGCTCTACTTTAGACAGGTGATGTTTCTTTTGATTCAGTGTCAAAGTCATTCATGCTAATCGCAGACGCCGGCTCGCCTGCCGTCTACAAAGTCAATGTCGATCTCCCGAATCACAACCGAGTGATCTTATCGGTCAACGAAACTACAGCGATCACTTACGATCCAGGCGACGAGCGAATCTACTGGATCGACGGACATCAACGAAACATACGTCGAGTATTTTTAAACATGACTGGAGAAGAAGCRTTCAACGTCCATTCTGTACGACCAGATACCATTGCGGTCGATTGGGTGGGRCGACATTTGTACTGGACGGATGATTGGTCGCGGCGMATTGAAGCRGCCAGGCTTGATAATGGACTACAGACATCGGTGATAATATCAGGATTGGAGAGACCTCGTGGCTTGGTCCTCGATCCTCCAAAAGGGTAATGGTTATTTGTGAGTTTTGCGATATCAATATAATATCATCTTGCTATAGATTCGTTCCTAAACACGCGCGGCATTTCACATGTAATCACAGGCTTTCTAGCAAAAGGTATATTTATTTGTTGTAAAGATAATAAAAAACGGGCTGCCTGTGGTTTGGGGACGCTTAAAAACGGCAAATATCACGTGCTGCATTCAATGGTTATTAGTGATTTTATGCGTCGTTAAAAACCTTAGATAACCACTGTAGTTAGTCCCTTCTTTATTGTCTGAATAGAGTGCAAGTCACATAAGCATGAAACAATTCTTAACTATGTAGTGCTAAATAAGATTTAGTTATCAACTAAACAGCATTGAGAACAATGCTACAAAGGAATTTAAATATTTGGCATTGTGTTTATGCTTTGTTGAATTCTTAGTTAGTTGATAACTAAATCTTATTTAGCAATACATATTAAGAATTGTTTCATGCTTATGTGACGTGCACTCTAACACTCCACTACACAATTTGTTTAATTATGTCCACGGGAAATAGTTTATTTGAGGTCATGTCTATCCAATAGGCAAATGTACTGGACAGACTGGGGGTCCACGCCCAAGATAGAAGTCGCCAACATGGATGGTACAAGCCGTTGGATYCTAGAAGACAGTGATCTCCAATGGCCGAACGCTCTAACCATTGATTCTAAAAACGGTCGTATCTACTGGGCTGATTCTGGCAGTGACAAAATCGAGTCACGTGATATCCTTGGTGCTCAGAGAAAGCGTGTTGAATACAAAGGGAGTAATTTTCACGCCTTTAGCCTTGCTTTCTTTAAAGGATCTGTATTCTGGTCAGATATGAAGAGCAATAGTGTACAGAAGCTTGACTTAAAGACTAGAGTATCAGTAAAGTACGTTAAGTCACTCAGCCGACCSATTGGTGTGTTTATATATGACCCATCTAACTATCCCGAAGGTAAATTTAAAATATGACGTCACTCTTATGACGTGTGTATGACATCATAAAATATGACGTCATTCACTGTCCGTGCGTAGATAGCATTAACATCCTGGATGTAATGACATCATTTTTAGAATGCGATTTCTTTTGCACAGGTAATGTTACAAAAATATATATGACGTCATGTATTGATGTGACGTAATTAAATGACGTCATTTAAGGACGACATGCATTACTTGAAATCTGATGTAATGAGATTTCAATTCTACCTTGAGATATGACGTCACGTAGAATCGTATGACGTAATCTTTTTTTATCATTTGGTTGATTTCAGTGTCAAATATGTGTAGTAACGGACAAACCGGATGTAGTCATTTATGTCTAATACGTCACATGGGATACACGTGCGCATGCCCATCGGGGTACAGACTCAAAGATGACAGAAAAACCTGTGAACGTGGTAAGACATGATGTTTTTAGTAACTATGGTTATAATTAATGGGATTTTTTGACAGCTATGTGGGTTAGGTTCCGAAAAACGTATAGAGCATGCGCAATTGGTATCTTACGAGATCTGTGGGATTCTTTCAAAAAACTTTTAAACCATCTCAATTATCGCTTTAAACTATAAGTAAGTATAGAGCTAGCAAACGATTCCATACTGATGAAATTTTATTTATAATTCATTTGACAACGCCTTCATATTTCAGCGCGTGAATTCTTCCTATTTGTYGACGGTGGTGCTCCAAGTGTTAATATTATGCCACTAGAARACAAAGATCCTATGTGGACTCCTATCTCAATCCTACCAACCAATAGCCARCCATCTGACTTCGATTACGATCCAATAAGCGATTCGTTTTTCTGGACAGACATAGCAACTAGCTCAGTGAATTCTTACAGTTTAAACGATAAAGTGTTCAAGTCTCTTCATCGATGCAATGTTGAACGACCAATGGGGATTGCCGTCGACTGGGGTGGTAAGAATATTTATTGGACCGATGCCAAGAAAGGGACTGTTGAAATTAGTCGTACGGATGGCTCGATGAGACGCGTCTTGGTTAGGACACCTAATGCGACTTCAATTGCGTTGGATCTTAAAAAGGGGTGGGTAATAAAATTAACAACTCTACTTTCAAAAGACTTATATATTCTACAGTACAAAGGAAAAAGGTCCATTCCTTGAAGTAGTCCCTTCCTGGTAATGATCCCTTCTTTGCAGTGGTCCTTTCCTAGTAATGGCCCCTTCTTTGAAGTGGTCCCTTCCTGGTAATGACCCCTTCCTTGAAGTAGTCCCTTCCTGGTAATGATGCATTCTTTGACGTGGTCCCTTCCTGGTAATGATACCTTCTTTGAAGTGCTCCCTTTCCTGATAATGATCCCATCTTTGAAGTGGTCTCTTCCTTGTAATTACCTATTCCTTGAGATGGTCCCTTCATGGTAATGATCCCTTCTTTTAAGTGGTCCCATCCTAGAAATGGTCCCTTTCTTAATTKGATTCTTGTCTGTTCCAAGGAATGRGAAGGATKGACTGAYTTACTAGTACATYTTRCARCATTCTTTGTTTGTTTACTAAAACCATTAACCATGGATAATTCATTTTGTTGTACAGGAGAATGTTCATCAGCGTCTGTGGACCATCACCAAAGATTATCAAACTTTTCATGGACGGTTCGTCCACCATGACACTTGTCAGTCAAGGTCTTGAGTGCGCCACTAGTCTCACTTTCGACCAAAAGTCTCAGCGTCTATTTTGGATTGATATTCCAAGAAAAAAGTTTGAAAGTGTCATGACTAACAATGCTAACCGTGAGGTTACGTACTTGGATGGAAGAGCTTCTCCAATAGGCTTCACTCTTAACGGTGATTACGCATATGTAACGGACGCAGTGATTGGTCGTATTTATAATATTAGYCTGCATAACAAATCAAATGTCACCTTGGCAAGAGATCTCAAGAAACCYACMATGATTCGTTATTTCAACAARATACGGCTTCTGAATGGTAATATTTATTTCTCTGTATTAGTTTGTCTGTCTGTCCGCTTACTTGACYGKCTGTCAATCATAACTCCATTGTTCCATGATTCTTAGAAATAACTTTAATTGCCTATTTTTCGAAATTTTGGTTGACGATAATTGACAAAGCTTCAGTGAAACATTAGATACTAAATTCTTTCGTCCTCAGTTCTTATATATAGGACTATTGAACCAAAATATCGAAATTGAAGTATTGATTTTATTTGTTCATCACTAGTTTCCAAAAAATGCTCGGTCAACAACGGTGGGTGTTCGGACTTGTGCCTACTCAGTGCRTCACGTGATGTTAAATGCGCATGCTCCACTGGAGGAAAGCTGCTTAAGGATGGCAAGACGTGCAATCATGGTAAGTGGACCGGTTAAGCAGGAAGCTGCTTTGATAAGGGTGTTATATATATAGTATAGTGTAACATGAAAGTCAAAGTAAGACAATGTAACGGAGGCATGAGTTAACGTTGAGTCACGCACAGAGAACTTATACAACGCAACAGGTGACGTATCGTGACGTTAGCGTTACATGACCAAGCGTTACTTAGTGTAAGAGTTGACGTACGACTTTGCGTATTGTAAGAGTTAACTTATCGTGACGAAAGAGGGACTTAACGTAGCGTGATTTCATAACGTACGACTTTGCGTAGTGTAACCTGCTATATGAGTTCATTCGTTTTGCTCTGAAAACGCAACCTGCGCGACGTTTCCGTACGTGTTTTCCATGGGTTCTGATCTTACGTACCGTCAATTCTTAGAGCCTTTCTTAAAACAAATGGACACACGAGCTCTTCTAATCGCTGACATGAATTACCAAGAYATCTTTATGGTTCCTCTCGACACTAAAGAGTCTTACTGCGCGTCAATTTACCACTCAAAAGTCCCAGTTCTTGACRCGGACACATCCAGAACAAARCCRATCTCGATTACGTACAACCCTAGGGATAAAYTWCTWTACTGGACCGACGAAAAGAAAAAAGCAATCATGAGAGGCACAAAAGATGGTCGCAATATCGAAGTAGTGGCTCGAATGGGAATACTTTACCCTGATGGKATTGATGTTGATTATATATCACAAAACGTTTACTGGACTGACGTATTGAGGAAGAGAATCGAGGTCTCAAGACTGGATGGGTCTGACCGGAAGGTTTTGATTGGATGGTCTCTTGATAAACCCGGTGCTATTTTGGTCGATCCCATCGCTGGGTAAGTGAGATTATCTATTAGAGCAAACGTAGGAAAACCATGAAATAAATCAAACTAAATACTAACAAATAGCGGCTATTTAGAGACAATTTGTCAGTATCAATGAACCAGAACGTAGAAAAGATGAATTAAAAATGGTCCCATGTGGATTCATCTTCATTGTGTTCTGGTTCATTGATACTGACAAACTGTGTCTAAATAGCTGCTATTTGTTAGTATTTAGTTTGATTTTATTTCATGGTTCTCCTGCGTTTGCTCTTTACGATTGTAAAAGAATATTTTCTTCCTCCATTTCGTCTTTTCTCTTATTATTTCTTTCCTCAATTCCCGTACACTTTCTTCTCTTCCATCCTAATTGCCTTCTCATTTTTTCTGTTGTCTTCACTATTTCTTTTCTTCTGTATGTGTACGTGCAATGGATGTTTCTTAACCTTAAAATCCTTTCTTTTCTTAGAAATATGTACTGGACAGAYTACGGTTCGAAACCTAAAATCGAGAGAGCACATATGGATGGAACCAACAGAAAACTTCTGATAGGCGTCGGGCTAAAACGACCAACAGGATTAGCACTAGATTTCAGGCTGCGACGTCTWTATTGGGCCGATGAAGGGACTGGTCAGATTGAGTCCATTCTACTAGACGGCTCAAACAGGAGAACTGACTTTTCTATTTCTAAGAAGAGTAACCAAGARAAAAGAGCGCCGTTTGGTTTGGCCTTTGATAATGGCAAACTGTACTGGGCTGATGTGCTAACACACTCGATCTATCAGTTGGAGGTTGCTACGGGGGATCTCACCGTTGTTGCGAAYGGACTGTCTCGCCCTGTTGATGTTAGGGTTGTTGGTAACATGGGTATGGATATTGGTAAGTCCGTAACTAATAAACGTAACGGCCTTTTACGCAACGGTCT